AGGGCGCCTGGGTGGCTCAGTTGGTTAAGCGACTGCCTTCGGCTCAGGTCATGATCCTGGAGTCCCGGGATCGAGTCCCGCATCGGGCTCTCTGCTCGGCAGGGAGTCTGCTTCTCCCTGTGACCCTCCTCCCTCTTGTGCTCTCTGTCTCTCATTCTCTCTCTCGCAAATAAATAAATAAAATCTTTAAAAAAAAAAAATTCTTTTCTTTAAACGTAACATTTTCCATTTTCTTAGAATTTATCATTAGGTTTCGAGCATTGCTCTTGAACCAGCTGTGGCAATTGCCTTTCTGACACCTTCCACAAGGTCGGGGAGCTGGGTGAATTACAGTTGTTTCTTCTAGTAAATGAAATACCATTTGCCCTACCTCGGATATAGGCCAACACCAACTTCCTGCATCTCCGCATTACAGATGGTGAAAGCATTGCAGATCACCTGTAAAAACAAGGGGAAGACAATCAGGATTACCAGAGTCACCTAAGAAACTTTGCAGGCAAGAGAACACAAATGTTCAAAATCAAACGTAGGAGTTTTAATACTTTAACAGTTGCTTTGGAAAGATCCAAGCCAAACAGGGATGCTCTTTCATTTGCAAAAGAAGGTATCTGGGACACATTTTCCTTAAGAACATCAGGTTAAGTGCAGAAATAGCAACATCCTGTACAAAACCTTAAACCAGCACAGGGACTGTTAATTTCAATCTAATCCTCTCCTCCAAAGTTACACAGTTCCATTACAACATTAAGTTTCAGAATACAAATAATCTATTTATTGAGCACTAGACTCCTACCACCTTGAATTTTCTTTTCCCCTCAAATTGCCTGCAATTTCCAAATGCCACTATGTATCCATGAGGAACAGCAGCCTGTCTTTTATTCCTACAAAGAGGGAAGGACACCCCGAGAGAGTCTGCGATCGGAGCTGACGGACCACAAGGAGCACAGAAAGTCATTCATTCCAGCCATGGCATTTACTATGGACATGGAAGGGCCTCACCGACTAGATAGCACAGTCCTATACCTTATGGGGAGTGGGCCAAAAGGAATAGAAGATGTGATCACTGTGTTCAAAGGACCTCAAAACCTGTGGAAGGCCACCCATAATCACAAAAAGAGCACTGGACTTAGAATCAGAAAACCTAGGTCCTGGCCACACATTGCTGCCTCAGGCAGGTGCTGGGATGAGCAGTGAAGGAATAAAGCAAAGTTCCTGCCTTCATGAAACTTAAATTCTAGTGGGGGGTGGGCGTGCACGTTCGTGTCAGAAGAAAGAGCAAGTGCAAAGGTCCTGGGGTGCAAATGTTCTTAGGTACAGAGTAACAGCAAGAAAGCTGGTATGGGCAAAGCAGGGCAAGGGAGAAGAAGAAAGGTGAAATATGAGATCAGAGTGGTAGTTAGATCGTTAGGTGCTTAGAGCTATGTCTAAATTGTTTTCTAAATGAGACAGAAAGCCACTGGGTTGCTTCTGAGCCAAGGCATGAATGGATCGGATTTCTGTTTGGAAAGGATCACTCTGACCATCGTGTAGAGAATGGGCTATAGAAAGGCAACCGTGGAAGGAGAGGGAATGAGAAGCTCAGGTGAGGTTGGAGGCCTGGATGTCGGTGGCAAAAATGGGGAGAAGTGAGTGGTGCTGCCAACAGGATTTATGACAGACTATCCAGGGGAATGGAGAGAGTCAAGGATCAGGTTTGAGCATGGACCCAAACGGGCTCCATAATGTTGCCATTCATTAACAGGAGCAAGACTGGGAAAGGAGCAGGTTTGGTTGCAGGGAGCTGGGAGCAAGGCCAGGCGCTCTGTTTCAGCCATGTTAAATTTGAAACGGCCTATTAGACATCCCAGCCAAGACCAAGTACAAGCGGAGCGCCTGGAGTGGGGGGTAGCAGACGGGCTGGAGACGGACGCTTAGGACAAGAAAGAACAAAGCCCATCAAGAAGAAAGCAGAAGAGGCCACCGCAGACCCGCAGACTTGAGATGAACCAGGGACCACAAATGGATGCTGACTCACTGTTATAGTTTCTGTAGAGGAAAAAAAAAAAAAAAGAAAGAAAACAAGCGACAACGAATGTCTTTAAATCAGGTTTATATGAAAGAACGTAAAGTATGAAAAAGCGCTCAGTCCTTTGAGACTCCTCCACTGCTCTAAAGAGCTCTTCTATGAAATCTAGTGCAACCTATCATGATTTAGCATTTCCTCTAAAAGTCTGTTAAAACTGCAGTCTCAAATCAGGAAATAAGTTGGTGTATTTTAAACACACTAGTTAAATTGCTCTAAGGGCATGTGTTTCATATTAAGTCACAACAGTGTACTGCCTACACATATTTATGTATAAAAATGTATGTATATTTATGTATAAAATGGATGGTGGAAATGCAGGACAAAAGATCCTGTGTTTTCTTTTAGAAACTTTACACATTTTTAAATGGGTATGAATTTGGGGGCGGGGAATAGAAACTTTAACATGTATTTTTAAAGTGTAATCAGGACTTTACCAACAGTAAGCCACCAATGAAACACCGGATCTAACCCATCTAATCTGTTAACTTTTTTTTTTAAAGATTTTATTTATTTATTTGAGAGAGAGACAGCGAGAGAGGGAACACAAGCAGGGGGAGTGGGAGAGGGAGAAGCAGGCTTCC